GGCAGCCATCACAGAGGCTTGACACAGCACCACAGGCCGCAGCGCGGCTCCCACAGCACTCAGGGTGACTCGGGCCTGCCTGAAGGGAGCCAGCATAAACAAGGTAGATAGCAACGTTTTAACTCAGGAAGGAAAAAGCCCTCCTTCCTTGCTTGCTTGGGCCCACACAGCTGGCACAGTGTTAGAGGAAAGCCTCGCTGAAGCACCAGGCACAGGGCTAGCCCGAGGACTGCTTCTGCTGTGGCAATGGAGGACACAAAAAAACCCCCAAAACCCCCAAGCAAAAAAACTCAGAGCAACAAGAAGCCCTGAAGGCACCTACAGCCTCTGGAGCCCAGCAAGATAAATACCACCCTGGTGCTGTCAGGCACCTGCCACTCAGTCTAACTGTACTGTGAAATACCATGTCTGAGAAGTGGAAGCAAACCCAAAGTGTTCCTTTTCTTTAGCAGAGTGAAACAAGTGTTGCTGATTGCCGAACTCTATCCCCAACACACAAAAGACAACACAAGGCAGCTTACTTCTAAATCTTTATTTGTTTTCTATACAGAGAAAACAGAGGAATGTTGAAGCAGCAATATTTAAACACACTAGCAAGGAGCCATCAATCTGTGAGAGTGCACAAAATGCAACACAGGGCCATTTGTGCAGTGGTCTCTGCTAAGGGGCAGGATGGGGGTAGGTCCAGGAACAGCCTCTTCCAGAAGGTGGGAGAGCTCTACGCAAAGGTGGAGCCATTCCAGCCCACATTGGCAGCGTTCATGTCAAAGTAGTTGATGTACACCCTGCAGAAGAGGCACAGGAAGACACAAATAATGACCTTACTAACTTGTTTGTAGAAAGTAATGGTTACGACAGGACAACAGAATAGGGGACAGTGCCTCCTGTTCCCCAGAAGTTTCAAGCTTAATTTTTAGTGAAACCTAACTAACTTCTCTGGCAGAGCCTCCAGTCAATATTCCCAAGTCCCTGGAATTGTACTTTTTTTCTTTTTTTAAATACAAACTCTTCTTCAGTAAGGGACTGTCCAGACACCAGAGAGCTTTTGGTTAGCAGCCTGTCAAGAATTCCTGGAGATAAAAACCTTTTGTTTATGAGCGCTACAGTCCTTCACGTGTGTCAGACAGGCTGCCTTACGAAAGTCAAGCAGGCCCTCGGGGCCAGCTCCACACCTCTCTCTTCCAACCCCAGCACGTCAGAAGCAGCAGGTTTTCACCGTGTCCGCTGCTGCACGCAGACACTCTCCCAAGGCTCCGCAGCCCACAAGGGAGCTGTTCCCAGGCCACTGGTTTCTACTTTGTCTTTCAGCTCTAGCCTCATCCCAGTTCTCCCTTGTGCTTTCAGCCTCCCATCACCAGAAGGGATCACACCTCAGCAGCAAAAAAGACACTGTACAACTTGTCAGTCCTCTGGTATTTTTCCGTACTCTGAGAACAGGAAACCATTTAACAGAGGGCTCTCAAGGGAAAGATGTAGGCATCAAACTCTTCACTCCAAATGATCACTTTGTATTTTCACATGGACTTATTCTGGGCTTTTTGTGTTTTTAAATGAACTTTTCAAAACAATTGCAGAGAGACCGATAATCCAAGGTTACTAACATCATGTCCCAGCCTTACCTGTCTGCAGATACATGCAAGTGCTTAGAGATCATATCACACAGGAGCTTGGTGTAAGTCTTGTTCTGCTGCCCTCCTATCTTGCCGATGCTGTAAAGGCTGCAGAGTGCGCAGGGATCCGTGGAACCCCCGAAGGACATCATCTGATCAGGTATGATGTGCACAGCGATGTACTGCAGTAGAACAAACAGTTACAGGATACCTCACCTTCCCTCTCCTGACACAAACTTGCTTTAACACCAACCTTAAGCAGCGCAGCTGTGTGCTGTGTTGCAGCGGCAGGCGGGGGCCAGGCAGCTCACCAGCGCTGCTCTCCACACCCCTCCCGGGCCCACATGGGCGTGCCATGTGCTGGGATCCCCCCAGCCTGGCGCTCAGCTTTAGGGACGAGAATACTGCGTTTGTGCAAAGCCGCAGGAGAGTCGGGTCCTCCTGCCTGCCACGGCACTGCCTCTGCACGGGGCAAAGAGCGCACGGCTCGAGAGAAAGGCCTTAAAACTGTATTTGCGTGACAGAATTCACACCCTCAAATCACGGAGGCCTGTCTAAGAGCTTGCCTGCAATTCAGCCTTATTGGGCTTTGACTTCCCGGGCTGCAGTGGTCTGGCCCAGGAGGGCCCATAGCCAATCCCGGGATAACCGGGAGCTGCTCGGAGGAAGGAGGCAGCCCGGAGCAGAGCTCCCGTGTCTGTTACTTCGCTTTGCCGGAAACTCGCCGGCCTGGCAAATACCA